GGGGGAGGGGAGGTTGGGTCCCAGTCTGGCCGCAAGCCGGGCTGTGGGAGGGAGACAAGCTGTGGAACTGATTATAAATGCAGCTGCGACAAGCTTGAGGGAGGGGAGGGGGTGAGGAAGGTAGGAGGTTGGGAGGGAAGCAGGGAGAATGGACGAACTGAAGGTCAAGGGGAAACCAGATTCAGGAGGCAGCTAACTCCTGTGGAGTTGTGGGAAGCGCGGAGTGGGGTTTGGGAGAATTCTCTAGACTGTTTCAAGAGGGAGAACAGGGAACGGAAAGTCCCCTTATCAGGGCCAAGTGAAGCTGGCAGGGGAGGAAGGGGCAGGCGGGCTGGCAAGGGGCCGGCCTTCCATGGAAGGGGAGAGGAGGGGCGGCACAGGCCCGTGGGGTCTGACACACTCCCCAATCCCCTAGATACACCCCCTTCTGATCCGCGACCGGAGGAGCGAGTCCAGCCGCAACAAACTGCTGAGACGCACGGTCTCTGTGCCGGTGGAGGGGCGGCCCCACGGCGAGCATGGTACGGCGGCCGAGCAGGCTCGTGCCCCGGACAGTCGCTGGGAGCGGGCGGGGGCGGAGAGCTGCCGTGATCCCGATACCGAGGACAGGGCGCCCTCGTCCGGGCTGCGCGGGGTACCGGGGCTGTTGGTGAGCGGCCCCCGCGTGTCCCCTACGCTGCTTCGCTCCTCTCCAGCAGCGAAGTTTGACTGTTTCCCGGTGCTTGTAAAAATAGTCTCTTTAGATCTTTAATCCCCCGTCCGTGTTCCTGGCCACGGCCCTGACATCCTCCGTCTGAGAACTTGGAGAGGTTGACCTAGTCCCCACACACCCAGACCTGTGTCCCACCGCGAACTTCCATCTTCTTCCAGGCCTGTGGCCTTTCCCTCTTCTTGCCCCTCTTTCGTCAGTTTGTTCTGTTTCCTGCGGTTATATCGCGTCTGCGTTCTTGTTTCTCCCCACTCTCATTTTCCCGTTTCCCTCTTGATCCCCTGTCCCTCCCCTCGCTCTGGGTGGAACTCTGTCAGACCCCCATCTCCTCACGGTCTCTCCCTCTCTCCATCTGTCTCTTCCCCTTCCTCCTCCCTTCTGCCCCCCACCCCCCTCTTTAGTCATTTAAAAAAAGATTTTTGTCTTCCTCTGAGAAGTTCGCTTAAAAGGTTTCCATGGGAACAGTGAGGGGAGATGAAGGCAGAGAACAGGGATCTGCAGCCGAGGTGCAAAGAGACGCCCTCAGTCCCCGGAAACCCCCTTGCCACTGCCCGGTTCCTCAGCATTTCCCTCCATGACCCCCATTCAACCCCAGACGACCCCTTTATCCCACCATCTCTTCCTCCCCAGGGATCCAGGCTTCCAGTTGCTTCCTTAGAGAACCAGTGGCCTGTGTTATCCATTGGCTCCAGCCAGCTGCCCTCTGCCTTCTGATAGGTCAAGGCCTCACTGCCCTGGGGGAGGGGGCAGCTTTGGGACCCCGGAGCAGTGGTCAGGGATGTGTGTCATTGTCATGGAAACTGACACAGGGGTGTAGGTAGCACTCTGAGGCAAGCCAGGAGGTGGTGGTGGAGAATGTCTAGAGAATGGGTGATGTCTGTCTGTTATGTCCGTGTCTGCTGCATAATTTTTGTGTGCAGTGTGTACCTGTGTGCACCGGAATGGTAACATGATCACAGAGCGTGTTCGTCATGTGTCCTGCGGTTGGCCGCTCTGCCCACACAGTTCTCTGTCTCCTTACGCTGGGTCCTCAGAGTGTTGAGGCCTTTGGTGTGGGTCTCCTGTGTTTTGGGTGGAGTTAAGGTGGCCTGTGGAGGTTACTGTATTGGGCTTTAGTAGAGGCTGGGAATGGTTCCAGGGTATATATATATTTGGGGGGGGGCAGGGTTTAGTGGAAGTTAATAGCTGGTGAACGTTTGGTATCTTCTGAGGGAAACAGAGTGTGTAGAGGGCATGAAGGATGTGCAGGGGACATAAAGGTCTTTGGGGCCTTGGGGGCTCCGGTCTGCAAAGGTGTTTGCTGAGGCTGTGGACGCTCCAGCCCGGGAGAGGTCGCCGGACCTTTGAGGGCATTGGAATCCAGGGCTCCTCCTCTGCTGGGTGGAGCTGCAAACCCTCGTTGTCTTCAAGGGCTTCTCTCTCTCTTTTGGGGGTGGGGGTCTTGCTCAGGAGGCGATGATGGGAAGCCTAGTTGGTTTTGGGGGTCCCTCTGTCCCCCTCCCCCGTCTCTCTCGCGTTGTCTCCGGGCGACGGGGCTCGTGACAGAGGCGGCCACGGCAGCAGCGGTCGCCTAGCAACGGCGGCGGGGCCCGGGCAACGGCGGCAGCGGCGGGAGCGGCGGCGGAGGGAGCCGTTCCCGCGGCTGTCACCGCGCGGCCGTCCAGGCCGTCCCGGGCCCCGCCGCCGCCCCACCGCGCCGGGCGGCGCGAGCCGGGCCGCCGCCCCCTCTCCCTCCGCACTCGCCCCTCCCCCGCGCAGAGCGGGCCCCTCCCCCATCGGGGACACCCTCGACCCCCCGGGGGGCGGTGCGAGGTAAGGGCGGGGCCGGGCGGACGAGGCGCGCGCGTGGGGGGTCGCGCGCGTGGGGCGGGGGCGCGCGTGTGCGTGGGCACGGGAGGGGGCTGGGGAGGCCGCGGCGGCGGCGGCAGCAGCTGCTCCCTCCGCATGTTCTCGCTGCATCTTCCGAGTGGGGGGAGTTATGGTAACTGGAGGGGGGCAGCAGAGGTCGGGAGGGGGGGTCTTGGCATTTTCGTGGGGGCAGGGTGTTGAGCACGCATGGGGGTGGCTGGTGTGAGGGGGGGTCTTGGAGCCCTGCTGGAGGGGCAGTCCTGGTGTTTGCGTGTGTGATCGTGACCGTGCTGGTGTCTCCGTGTGTCGGTGCCATGTGCACATGGGGCCCAGTTCCTCTTGCACACATGTGTAGCCAGCACTGTGCAGGTATGTCCTGTCTTGCCCTGCCTCTTGACAGTGAAGAGCAAGAGGGCCTGCGGGACTAGCCACTGGTTTTGGGGGCAGTTTGTGGACATACTGATTCATGTCACCTCTGACCCTGAGCGTGCATGTCCCTGGCTGAAGTGTGTAGGAATGTGTGGCTGGTCGAATGAGCAGAATTTTCAGTGTCCCTGGTGGCAGGTGTGTATCTTTGCATGTGTGTTCCAGCTCTGGCCTGAGTATCTGTGTCAGTCCTCGCATGGGTGTCCAGGGCGTGTCTGGATGTGGGTGGTGTGCCAGTGCTGGGGACAAAGTGTGTGAGTGGTTCCCTGTAGTCTGACTGCATGAGACACCTTAGGGATAGGCAGGGTGAGCCTCTGCCTGCTCCCAGATGGGGGCAGGAAAGCCTGAAGGGAAGGAGTTGGGTAAAGAGAGAAAGTAAGGATGAGAGAGTCAAAAAGAGGAGAGCGAAGAGCCAGGAAGAAATGGAAATGTAAGAGAGCCGAGCTGGACTTAGAAGAGAGAAAAGAGACCAGGCTTAATATAGGGAAGTGGGGAGGCAGATGAGGATCCAGGTCTTCTGTGAAGCAGTCTGCCAGGGTGGAGAGTCTAGGCTGGTGCAGGTCTGGAAGATCAGGCTTGGTCCGATGGCAGGAGGCCATCCAGCCATAGAAGCTGGTGCCCAGTGAGGCCTGTCACCACAGACTCTGCAGAGCATGCCCTCCCCCCAGTTTATTCCCTCTCTAACCCTGCTCCTCATCTTTCTCTGGCTACCTTTCTCCCTGGCTCCCATCCAGAACTATCAGCTGGGTATGGAGAAGAAAGGCTACAGGGAAGGGTAGGGATCTGGGGGTTGGAGGGCAGGAGAGATGTTTGTGGGTGATAGCAAGATTAGACACACTGGAGAGGCGGAGTCCAAGCCCGTGCTCTGTGTGTGAGTGTGTGTGCTTGCTTGCTTGCAATTGTGTGTGTATACAGGGTGTGTACTGTGTGGGTGTATGCACAATGCCTGTGTTACGGGCCTGTGTAGGTGGCTGTTATGTGTGTGCATGAGTGTATATATCGTGCAGGGATGGGACATGGAGACCCAGCATGGCAATGTGTGCTTTTCAGGTTTGTATGTGTACATGGCTGTGTGCTGGCGTGTGTACATGTCACTGCAGGCACACTAATGACAGAATATCCTGTGTTTCTGTCACTCAGCCCCCTTGCCTCTGTGCTCTGCCTTTCTCTTCCTTGTGTCAGAGTCCTTGTGAGCACATGTGTGTGGCCTCCATGCTCCTGTGACTTGTTTCTGAGTTCTTAACATTATATGTGTTGCTTCCAGGAACTAAGCAAAGCAATTAGCAGATTCTTTCCCTCTCTGTGAATATATTTAGCTCTAAAAGAGAATTTCAGTGGACTTAAACTTAAGGCTTTTCTGCTTTTATTAGAGATGCTTGTGCGTGAAAAGAATGGCTGAGCTGGGCTCCCTGGAATGAGAGTAAGGCAGCCATACCTGAGAGATGCAGAGGATTGGATTAGGAGGGAGACAGGCTGGGCCTGGGGCGCACTGCTTACTGTGTGACAGAAGGTCACTTAACACATTTGATCCTCATTTCTTGTTTTGATTGTTCTGTTTTTCTGTTAGCCATCACAGATGCTGGTGTAGAGTCATGGGAGAGCTAGAAGGAAGCAGGGGGATGGGGCTGTCCAAAGACAGTGACTGTGGATGTCCTTAGTGTGAGTTCTGAATGTTTGTGCTCCAGGGGCATGCAGCTTCCTTTATCTAACCGAGCTCACGTGTGTACATGGTGCAGGGATGACCATGGGAAGTCCCTGGGCTCACACTGGCATGCCCTTCCTGTGGAGCATGAATTGTTATAGGTTATATGTCCCTTTATGTGGTGTGTTGCCCACATCAGCAGTTCAAGTATGTATACCCCTGTACAGTGCTCGCATATGTCTAAGCATGTGGGGTGTGTGGGCCTGGGGTCTCAAAGTGGGTCCCTAGTGCCCCCATGCTCCAGGCTGTCTGTATGTCTCCCAAGCACAGAGTTCCCTCTTATTTCTCATACTGCAGCTGTGATATACACGTATTACCTCTGTTTAGTGTGTGTTTTTGTGCTCTACACATGTTCCTGGGAGACTGAGCGGGTTCTCTTGTCTCGGGATGCAGACCTGTGTGTGCAGACCTGAGTTTGCCTATGAAAGGAGCAGGGACAGACTGGCTCTGAGGCAAATGCAGTCTTGAAGCAGGCACGGAAATGTAGTGTGGCTTTCACTGTTCTATTCTGGAACCTAGTGGGTTAACAGGCAGTTCTTCCGGTCGCCACCCCCCCCCCCAGCCTGTAGCTTCTTGTTGCCATGGAGATGGTGGCCCCGCCCCTGATGCAGCACCGGCCCCCCCATTGGCTGCAGTGGTGACTGTGGGGCTGAGGAGGGAGCCCAGGCCTGGGCAGCCATTCTGGAGCTGGAGCCGGAGCCTGGCATCCCCCCACTTTCATTCTCCTTCAGCCCCTATCCCCTCCAAATTCCCTAGCAGCAAACCTTCAGCTCCCTTCCACTAGACTCTTGGCAGGCTGAGCTTCATCCGCATTCGCCTCCCCTCCTCCTCACCAGCCTTTACTGGGGAGTCCCCAGAACCCCACTGCCCATCCTCCCCACTCCCTTGCCTTCTCCTTTTCAACCCTTCACTAGCACTGCAGTGCACGTGGAACCGGCTCCTTCGCCCCTGCTTCCATCTGCCCCTTCCTCGGATTTTCTGTTCCCCTCTTCGCAGCATAGGTCTCTTCTGAGACCCCCCCCTCTAGTCCTGGGAGGGGGTCATGGGAGGCAGCCCTGGACCTCCAGATAGACAGGGGCTTGGGGAGGTGGGGGGCAGGTGGAGGATGTGCCCAGCTGAGAAAAGAGGAAAGCCCATCCATGGGCAATGACCTTTAACCCATCTCCCCCGCAAGCAAGCCCCTTCTTTCTCTCGGGTGGGAGCTGGGGCACCGAACCTAACTGGATCGTGGGTATTCTTCATTACGGAGGTTTTACTGACCCTCCTCCTGACTATGCCCCTCTGCTGACTGTCAGCCCCAGTCATGGGCTTAAGGCCTCCCACCCCGACCCCATCAGGGGGCTCCGGCTCAGGTTCCTTGCCCCCTCCTTCCCACCGCCAGCCTCTCCGCCGCCGCTGCTCTTCTTGCTGCTTTCCGGGGGGTAGGTGAGGCCGAAACTGAGGGACTGAGGGAGGTGGTGAATGTACTGACCCAGGATGGATATCGGGACTTAGAGTCTCCTGTCCCCTTCCCCCAACTTCCTTCGGGCCCTTTCCTCCCCTCTAGAATACCACTTGGGTCGCTCGAGGAGGAAGAGTGTCCCAGGGGGGAAGCAGTACAGCATGGAGGCCGCCCCCGCAGCGCCCTTCCGGCCCTCGGTGAGTGAATGGAAGTGCCTGCCAGATGTGGCCCAGCTGGGCCCCATCCTTTCCAGCCCCAGCTGGAGTCCCAGGATTCTGACAAAGGACCAGGGAAGAGTGTGCATGTATATCCCCACCTCTTTGGTTTACCCCTTCTTGGCTCTGCCCCCTACTTCTTAGGCCAGCCCTCCCACCTTTTCCAAGCTAGTATGTGTTTGTGTTTGCTCACATCACACAGCATCCGTGGGAGCCAGAAGACAAACTGGTGTCAGGGCTCCTATCCCCTTCCCCGCTCCGTGTTCTTCCAGAGATTCTCTGCCAGCTAAGGGGTTCTAGAGAGACTCTGTGCTGCCCCAGTCACCCCTATTCCCATTTGCTCCCCAGCAAGGCTTCCTGAGCCGGAGGCTAAAAAGCTCTATCAAACGTACAAAGTCACAACCCAAACTTGACCGGACCAGCAGCTTTCGCCAGATCCTGCCTCGCTTCCGAAGTGCTGACCATGACCGGTAGGTACAGGGCCTGGAATGAGATGGATGCGGTATAATGGTGTTGAGTGGGCTGGGGGATTCCCTGAGTACAGAGGTTGCGGGGGCTCATTTGGTTGGGGTGCTGAGGCATCAGAGAGGAGCTGGACTAAGCTGTAGGTAGCAGGAAAGAGGAGGTGATGGGGAGGACCTGCAGAGGCAGGGAAGGAGGTGAAGGTGAAGCTAAGGAGGCATCTTAGAGTGGAAGGAAGGGTGGGCTCCTGCCCAAGGCAGGAAAGGACAGAAATTAAGGGAAGCGGTTGGAAATGGGTGAGGGGTGCTGGTGTTGCTGCTGGGTGAGGGCTAGGGCTCAGAGACTCCAGTAGTAGTTTGGAGGGAAGCAACAGAACAACCGGAAGGGAGTTGGTCTGGTATGCAGGTAACAGAATGGGGGCAAAGGCTAGAGTTAATCGAGGGATGAGGAAGGAGACCTGGCTGCTTGCCTTTGTCCTTCTCTGGGCTTCCCCTTAGTCCAGTTACTCCCTGGAGAGAGTCTGTCCTTCTTTTCCCTTGTGTCTGGCTGGCCCAGGGATTAGGCGGGTAGGAAGGTTGGGATCAGGTGAGTCACACCTTTCCCTGCCCCCACTTCCAAGTAACCAGTGCTGGATTTGGGGCTGGCAGGGGGTGAGGGCATGGTATTCCTGGCCGCGGGGGCGGGGGGCCGGGGGAGCGTGGTGCTGACGGCAGCCAGAGCCTGTGATGACGGGGCTGCTATAAATAACTCCATGGAGGCTCCCACACCCGAGCTCTCCCTCCTGTTTCCCCATGCTCCCTACTCTTTGTCCCCTATCCATTCCACACCACTTGCTATCCCAGCTCCCCTCATTCTAGTCCCTCGGTCCCATTTCTCTGAGCTCCCCTGCAGTGCCGTGTGCACTGCCGGCCTGGACTCTGTCCTCTGCACAGTGCTGCTGCCTCTCCTCAGCCTCACAGCACCTGCTTTTGCTCCACTGCTGCTGTCTGCCTCCTCTTCCCAAATGTGCTCTCCCGTCTCTGACCTTTATTCTGCTCCATTCTGCCCACAGCATTCTCTTGTGCTTTTCTCTTCCCGGGTTGTGCTAAAACTGTTCTCTTACTTCATTCATAGTTTGAATCATGAAATGTTTATTAGGCACTAGCTGTGTGCCAAGTCCAATCCAGACAATACTGCATTTTCTCCGTGCTTCTTTTCTTTATGTATTGAGATTCTGGTTTCTGGAGTCGTGTAGACATGTCCAGGACATTTTTTTTTCTGTTTGTTTGTTCTGTCCTGTCCTTTTTTTTTTTTTTTGGTCTGTTTTTCCCTTTTTGGTTTTTTTGGGACAAGGTTTCTTTCTCTGTGTAGCCCTGGCTGTCCTCAAACTCAGAGATACATCTCCCTCGGCCTCCCAAGTGCTGGAATTAAAGGCGTGCACCACCACCAACCACCTGGCTTTTTAAATTTTGTTTGTGTTTTGTTTTTGAGACACTGTTTTTCTGTGTAGCCCTGATGTCCTAGAACTTGCTCTGTAGACCAGACTGGCTTAGAACTCCCAGAGACCCGCCTGCCTCTGCCTCCTGAGTGCTGGGGTTAAAGGTGTTGCACGCTACTATGCCTGACTTTGTTTCTTCTTTTAAAAAACAAAATCTCACTATGTAGCCCTGGCTAGCCAGCACTTGCTAGGTAGTCCAGGCTGGCCTCAAAATTAGCAGGAATCTACCTGCCTCTGTCTCATGAGTGCTGTGATTAAAGGTCTGTCCCAGCAGTTTTGAGTGATTTCTAGGTATCCCAACTCCTTAAGTAGGAGTTGAAGTAGAGAAGTCTCTTGAAGGGCTTTGGTTTTCGCTGTACCTCCCATGTCCTTCCCCAGGGAGTCTGGTCTTCCTTCTGTGAGTCTGTGTGTGAAGGATTGAGGCCTTCTTTCCAAGGCTGCCTTCCAGAACCTCTGGTGAGGCAGAGTCTGAGTGTGAGGAGAGATCTTTCTCTGAACCTCCCGCCTACCAGGGCCCGGCTGATGCAAAGCTTTAAGGAGTCCCACTCCCATGAGTCCTTGCTGAGTCCTAGCAGTGCTGCTGAGGCCTTGGAGCTCAACTTAGATGAAGACTCCATCATCAAGCCGGTGCACAGCTCCATCCTGGGCCAGGAGTTCTGCTTTGAGGTAGCGGCTCTTATGGACCAAGGAGGGTGGAGGGCAGGGATGGTGGAGGCTGGGGTAAAGGGGCCATGATGAAGTGCCACACATGGGGATATCCCAGAAACAAACCTGGGACTAGGAAGGAACACACGGTGGTCATTGCCTCTCTTTGAAACCCCGTCTCAAATCCATACTCCTCTCCAGGTAACAACATCGTCTGGAACAAAGTGCTTTGCCTGTCGGTCTGCAGCCGAAAGGGACAAATGGATCGAGAATCTACAGCGGGCAGTAAAACCCAACAAGGTACTGGAGAGGAAGGGGAAAGAGGAGGCTGGGGGGCGGGGTCTAGTAGGCTAAAGGACGGACAGGGACTTAGAAGGAGGGGACAGAGGTCTAAGAGACCTGGACAGCCAGGGGTGATTCTCCTTATTCTGAACCCTCCCTTTGGCTCCCTTTCTTCCTTACTGCTACCTTACACCACACTCTGCTTCTCTACAATGAAAGCCATAGACCTAGAGAACCGACAGGGCTCTTTGAGTCCTCCAATCTGGTTTCCCTGCGGATAGAAGGCCTCGCTCACACCTAACAGGTGCTTGCTTACCCAGCACCACTGACAGTGCTCTGTGCAATGTGGTTGGCCTAGGTGACCTCAAGGTTCCCTTGACAGAGTCCTGTGCATCTGTGCTCCAGCCAAGTCTTCTGTTCCCCAAGGGAAAGCTGCCCTCCTGTCGGCTGGTCTTTGACCACAGTTTGTAGCCAGCTCACAGTCCTGCCGTCCTCCTCTTGTCTCCCAGCACCTTTATTAAGGAATCCCACAACCTGAGCCACACTGCTTTCCACTCATGGCGGTGTCACATGACCCTGACCAGGCGCTTGGTCCAGTCTCACTGCTCCTGTGCATATGCAGCTGTTATTCTGTTTTGCAACATCTGATGCTTCTGCAGAACTTCTCATTCCCAGCTTTAGGTCTTCTTTACTAAAAAAGAAAAAATATTGCTGGTTATGGTAGCGCACACCATTAATCCCAGCACAGATGCAGGTCGATCTCTGTGAGTCCAGCCAGTCTGGACTGCCAGAGCTATGGAGAGAGGTTCTATTAAAAAACAAAAACAAAAAAACCAAATAAATGAACTAAAAACTGAATTTATTTCTATAGGGTGTGTGTGTGTGGTGCCACAGTGCACATGTACATGTGCTAGAGTACAACTTTCTGAAAGTGGGTCTCTCCTTCCACTATGTTGTGGGTGATTGGGTTCGGCAGCCATGACCTTTACAAGTAAGCCATCTCACTGGCCCTCAGTGCTTGTGGCTTGTGACTCAAACATTTCTCCACATTAATCCTGGTGTGTGTGACTACCCTTCTCTGATAGCTTCCAGGGCTGCTGTAAAAAGCTACCATGAACTGAGTCAGCTGAAACTATCCTCTCACAGTTCAGGAGGTCTAAAGTCCAGGCATAAGCAGGGCCTTTCTGGAGCTCTTAAGTTCAGTCCTTCCATCTCTGCATGGCCAGCTTCCTTCTGGGTGTCTCTGAATGACCCTCTTCATGTGATAAAGTCAGTCACTGGATTAAGAGATCACATTAATCAAATATGCCCTCATCTTAATTATACTACATCTGCCAGGACCCTATGTCCACCTCAGGTCACACTCAGTTTCTAGAGAGACCAGCCAGGGCCACCTAGTGAGGCTGTCTCAGAAACCAGAAACAAGGCAAAATAGAGTACTGGCTGGTGGGCACTACTCAGGCCCGGTGGGCACTATTCAGGCCCGGTGTGCTTGCCTCGCAGCTTCTACCTCAACCCCTCTCGCTCGCTCACTGTCTCTCCTGCTGTGCCTGACTTTTCCGTTCTGTTTGCCCTAACCACTTCCGCATGCCAGGACAACAGCCGCCGGGTAGATAACGTGTTGAAACTATGGATCATAGAAGCTCGAGAGCTGCCCCCCAAGAAGCGGTATTACTGCGAGCTGTGCCTGGACGACATGCTGTATGCACGCACCACCTCCAAGCCCCGTTCAGCTTCAGGAGACACTGTCTTCTGGGGCGAGCATTTTGAGTTTAACAACCTGCCGGCTGTCCGGGCCCTGCGGCTGCATCTATACCGTGACTCAGACAAAAAACGAAAGAAAGACAAGGCGGGCTATGTTGGCCTGGTGACTGTACCGGTGGCTACCCTGGCTGGGCGACACTTTACAGAGCAGTGGTACCCTGTGACCTTGCCAACAGGCAGTGGGGGCTCTGGGGGTATGGGCTCGGGAGGAGGAGGGGGGTCAGGGGGTGGCTCGGGGGGCAAGGGGAAAGGAGGCTGCCCTGCTGTAAGGCTGAAAGCCCGCTACCAGACAATGAGCATCCTGCCCATGGAGCTGTACAAGGAGTTTGCAGAGTATGTGACCAACCACTACCGGATGTTGTGTGCAGTCCTGGAGCCTGCCCTGAATGTCAAGGGCAAGGAGGAGGTTGCCAGTGCACTGGTTCACATACTGCAGAGTACAGGCAAGGCCAAGGTGAGTACTCTGCCCCCAGGGAAAGATGATGTGAGAATGGGTGCTGGTCCGAGGGTGGTGAAGGGAGAGCAGACCCAGGAGGCTGGGCTCTGCAGAGGCTGACTTTGGGGTTTTCCTGGCCCCAGGACTTCCTTTCAGACATGGCCATGTCAGAGGTAGACCGGTTCATGGAACGGGAACACCTCATATTCCGCGAGAACACGCTCGCCACTAAAGCCATAGAAGAGTATATGAGACTGATTGGTCAGAAATACCTCAAGGATGCCATTGGTATGGCCCACCTTCAGGCCTTGTTCCTAAACCTCCTCATGCCCAACCCATCACTCCTAAACCTGGCCACCCCAGACCCCATATCCACCCTTCCTCAGGGTCCCAGGACCCCAGCATCCAACCATCTGATTCTGCCATTCCTCCAACCCAGGGAGCCCCCGTCCCTGCCCTTGGAAAGTGTGACCGCTCCCTGTCGTACCCCTTTTCCCAGGGGAGTTCATCCGTGCCCTGTACGAGTCTGAGGAAAACTGTGAAGTGGACCCCATCAAGTGCACGGCATCCAGTCTGGCAGAGCACCAGGCCAACCTGCGGATGTGCTGTGAGTTGGCCCTGTGCAAGGTGGTCAACTCCCATTGGTGAGACTGGGAACGCTGGGCTGGGGGGCCAGGGTTGGGCAGTTGTGTGTTCATCTGTTCATCCATCTGTCCATCCTCAGAGGACTGAGCATCAGTATGGGCAAAGCATTCTGGAGTGTTGTAGAGCAGAGAGGTGAACAAGGTGTGGTCCCTGACTTCAGAGGGCCTCCAGCCAAAATAAGTAGGGACAGGAGCTGTCCAAAAGGCCACAGAACCATTATGGTGTGTGTTCAGGGAGGGTCCCTTGTGCAGCATCCAGTCAGAGAAGGCACGGCTGTGACAAAATCACACACGCAAAGTGTCCAGGACTGGGGACAGGGACTGGCGTCTGCACACAGTAGGCTAATGGCATTTCCCAAGGCTGTGAGATAACACACAGGATATGTGAAGGTGTGGGAGCCTTCCAGGAGATGGCTGGTAACTGGAACAGGCTTAGAGAAGCCATGGCTATAGCAGTGTGCTCGGGGAAGAGTGAGAATCTGCAAAGCCTTAGGTTCAGGAGTCGCAGCCATCCGAATGTTCTGGAGTGTCTGTTGGTACCAAGAAGTAGCATGATTAAGACTGGCCCATGAGTCAAGTGAGCCATATGGGAAGGGAAAGAAAGAAGTCCAGACCATTGGTGCTGTGGTTGATGGGTCAGGAGTGAAAACCAGACCTTGAATCAGGACGGAGTCAGAAGGCCGAGAAAGAGACAGAAAGGATCAGCAGTTGTCGTCTGAGGGCTGTGTAGAGAGTCTGGATGACTTAAGAGGTCATGGGACTAGTGCTTTGGAGACCCACAGCCTCCTTGACAGAACCAGGGAAGTCAAAAGGAGCCAGCTGGCAGTGTGGGGGCGATAGTGAGCTCTGTTTTACACTAGTCAAGTTTAAGGTGTCAGTGGGACATTGAAGTGGCACTGGGAGGCGGGGAAGAGTGAGCTGAGCCATTCCAGGGACTGGGGATCATGCCTGGGGCACGTCCATCCCCATTTCCCTGGAATCCAGAAGAGTTGGGGGGTCCGAGCTCCCTGTACCTCAAGTGACCCTCCATCTCTCTCCCATCTCTGTCTCTTCCCCGGTGTCTGTTTTTCTTCTCCTCCTCTCCTTGTCTCTCTCACACACCCCTCCGTCTCTCTCCCATGTGTCTCTCTCTCCTCACCCTCTCTCCCTCTCCATTTCTCTCTCCAGAATCTGTGCCCTCTACCTCTTCAGCAGCCTCCTGTCTCTCTCCTGCAGTCCCTCCCTCCCGGTCTCTCTCACCTGTCTCCACACCCTCACCTCCTACCACCCCCTCAGCATGTTCCCTGGAAGCTGAGGGTCTCTGGGGCTCAGTCCCGGTCTCTCTTTCTCTCTCTCTCTCTCTGTCTCCCCACCCCTTCCCCCCAGCGTGTTCCCGAGGGAGCTGAAGGAGGTGTTTGCATCTTGGCGGTTGCGTTGTGCAGAGCGGGGCCGGGAGGACATTGCTGACAGGCTGATCAGCGCCTCGCTCTTCCTGCGCTTCCTCTGCCCAGCCATCATGTCGCCCAGTCTGTTTGGGCTTATGCAGGAGTACCCAGATGAGCAGACCTCACGAACCCTCACCCTCATCGCCAAGGTCATCCAGAACCTGGCCAACTTTTCCAAGTGAGGGAAACTTGAGGAAGGGTGGGGAAGAGCTGTGCTTCTGGAAGGGTCTCCTGAGTCACCAGAGCATCTATGCCTCTGAGCAGGTTTACCTCAAAGGAGGACTTCCTAGGCTTCATGAACGAGTTTTTGGAACTGGAGTGGGGCTCCATGCAGCAGTTCTTGTACGAGATATCCAACCTGGACACACTGACCAACAGCAGCAGTTTTGAGGGCTACATAGACTTGGGCCGCGAGCTCTCCACACTTCATGCCCTGCTCTGGGAGGTGCTGCCCCAACTCAGCAAGGTTAGTGGCTGTCTCCTTTGTCCTGCCCCCAGGTGCTTCCCTCTCTGCACAGAGCTGTTCCTGGAAACGCCACCACCACCACTTCCAGCACACTCCACACAGCCTCTGCCTGTGCCCTCTGAGGCCCTTTTAGAACTGGACATTTACTCATAAGGTGACAGCCTTGTCCTTCCAGGAAGCCCTCCTGAAGCTGGGCCCACTGCCCCGGCTCCTCAATGACATCAGCACAGCCCTGAGGAACCCTAACATCCAAAGGCAGCCGAGCCGCCAGAGTGAACGGACTCGGCCTCAGCCCGTGGTGCTGCGAGGGCCATCAGCCGAGATGCAGGGCTACATGATGCGGGACCTCAATAGGTGAGCACCCTGCTCCCCCTCTGCTGTGCTCTGGGAGCCTGATCACTCCTGGATGCTTCTTGCTGGGCCCTAGATGCATCTCTCTAGACTTCAAAAGGGAAACTGCAAGTTCTTAGGGACAGTGGTGAGGGTATAGGCAGTGGGAGGCTGAGAACTCTTTAGAGCTAGAGAGGGAGAAATGTATACCGAGCCCAGAGCCAGAAATACTGAGGCTCCTCTGCTCCAGGCTTAGCTGAAGCCAAAGGGACTCTGCTGCAGCTGACTTGCTTTGTCCCTCTGCCAGCCCATGCTCCTGTAGGCTGCAGTTCAGCCATGTGGTACCAAAATACTCAGGTGTCTCTACGTGACCTAACAACCCCTGCCCCAGAGAACTCCCCATGACCCAGCATTCAGAGAAGCAGCAGCTGGAGCTGAGTGGGCCCCGGAGCCTGGCATTCAGTTTGATGGGGGCGGGGCTGGGCCTCAGCTACTGTCCTTCATCTTGTGACTGCTCTGCTATTCCTCACCCGTGTCTCCATCTGTGACACCACACCCGTCCCGCCATCCCTCCCATCATCTCCACCTCTCTCCTTCTCCTGTCTGCTCGCCCCTTTGCATCTCTCTCCAGCTCCATCGACCTTCAGTCCTTCATGGCTCGAGGCCTCAACAGGTGAGGGCTCTGTCCTCCCCACCCTCCTGTCCTGCTGCACTGGGCTTCGCCCGCCTCTGCTCCTCTGCTCCTCAGTGCACCTCATCTCCTCCATGCCTGCCCAGACCAACCCTCATTCCTCTCTTGCTGCCCCACCTCCTTTTCCAGGCCTTAACCCCCTTCCTAGGCCTGTCCTTTCCCTTCTCCAGCTTCCCCTCCCATCCTCCCTGCCTGCCTCTTTAGGGCTGCTACCACCAGCGCTCAGCCCTTTCCTGTGGGTCCCACTTCTCACCAGACCACAGGCTCGGGCACCAGTAGTCCCAGCCTCACTTCTGCCTGTGTGTGCCTTCCCTTCCAACAGCTCTATGGACATGGCTCGCCTCCCCTCCCCAACCAAGGAAAAGCCACCACCACCCCCACCCGGTGGGGGTAAAGACCTGTTCTATGTGAGCCGGCCACCACTGGCCCGGTCATCCCCAGCATATTGCACAAGCAGCTCGGACATCACAGAGCCAGAGCAGAAGATGCTGAGTGTCAACAAGAGCGTATCCATGCTGGACCTTCAGGGTGATGGGCCTGGGGGCCGTCTTAACAGTAGTAGTGTTTCCAACCTGGCAGCTGTTGGGGACCTGCTGCACTCAAGCCAGGCCTCACTGACAGCAGCCTTAGGGCTGCGCCCTGCACCTGCCGGGCGCCTCTCCCAAGGGAGTGGCTCTTCCATCACAGCAGCCGGCATGCGCCTTAGCCAGATGGGTGTCACCACGGATGGTGTCCCTGCCCAGCAACTGCGTATTCCCCTCTCCTTCCAGAACCCTCTCTTCCACATGGCTGCTGATGGGCCAGGGCCCCCCGGGGGGCACGGAGGGGGCAGTGGTCATGGTCCACCCTCCTCACATCACCACCACCACCACCACCACCACCATCGAGGTGGAGAGCCCCCAGGAGACACCTTTGCCCCATTCCATGGCTATAGCAAGAGCGAGGACCTCTCTTCAGGGGTCCCTAAGCCCCCTGCTGCCTCCATCCTTCACAGCCACAGTTACAGTGATGAGTTTGGACCCTCTGGTACTGACTTCACCCGTCGGCAGCTCTCACTTCAGGACAACCTTCAGCACATGCTGTCCCCTCCCCAGATCACCATCGGTCCCCAGAGGCCAGCTCCCTCAGGGCCCGGAGGTGGGAGTGGTGGGGGCAGTGGTGGGGGTGGTGGGGGCCAGCCGCCTCCCTTGCAGAGGGGCAAGTCTCAGCAGCTGACAGTGAGCGCTGCCCAGAAACCCCGGCCATCCAGCGGGAACCTACTGCAGTCCCCGGAGCCAAGTTATGGTCCTGCCCGTCCACGGCAACAGAGCCTCAGCAAAGAGGGCAGCATTGGGGGCAGCGGGGGCAGCGGTGGCGGAGGGGGTGGGGGGCTCAAGCCCTCCATCACGAAGCAGGTAGGTGAGGGTAAGGGTGAGGTAGGGTGGGTGGAGAGGAGCGAGGGAATGAAATGGGGTGGAACAGTGGGTGTTCTGAGTCTCACCTTCTTTGTTCTTTAAACAAACAAGTGGCATTTGGCCTGTATTCTCAGCAGTCAGGAGGCAAGATGATTGCCAAGTCTGAGGCTAGCCAGAGCTAGGTACTGATATTGTGTCTCTAAACAAAAAGCTCACAAACATAAGAGGGCCTCAGCAGTGTCCTGTGAGCTGTCCAGGTACTAAGGATGTGTAGATGGTCAGCGGAGGACCCTACCCTCAGCACTCACTCCCAAGGGAGGCACGATCAGTCACCTCATTAGTGCTCAGGGGAGAAGGGAAAAGGCGGGTACAGGTCTGGGTTGCCCTTCTCTTTTCTTCCTCTGAGCACACCCTCCCTTTCCTACCTTCCTGCTCTCTACCCTGCCTTGCTTGTCTCAGCATTCCCAGACTCCATCCACGCTGAACCCCACAATGCCGGCTTCAGAGCGGACGGTCGCCTGGGTCTCCAATATGCCCCACCTGTCAGCCGACATCGAGAGTGCACACATCGAGCGGGAAGAGTACAAGCTCAAGGAGTACTCGAAATCAATGGATGAGAGCCGCCTGGACAGGGTACGCTGGCCTTGCCTCTCAGTTCTGTACCTCCTCTCTCATGCCAAGGAAGGCCTTTAGTCCTTCCAAGGGAAAAAGACCCATGCTCAGTTGGTTGGGGAAAAAGGAAAGATAGGCAAACGTCTTTTCTAGTCTGTTAGGTCCTTATGTATCAGTCTGTTTGTGGGTTACATACACTGTGGACTGGAGAGAACTGTTCTGTTGAGGTGTAAGAAGGAGACCAGCTGAAGGAGCAGGGCATGTAGGAAGAACACTATCAAGCCAGACCTCGCAGCACAGGTCTGCCAACTGCTACTTAGGAGGCTACGGCAAGAGATGTCAAGTTCAAGGCCAGCTTGGGCAACTTTATGATATGATACCCTATTTCAAAATAAATAGTAAAAAGTAAGCCGGGCAGTTTGGGGGCCTTTAATCCCAGCACTCAGGAGGCAGAGGCAGGTGCATCTCTGTGAGTTTGAGGCCAGCCTGGTCTACAGAGTGAGTTCCAGGACAGGTTCCAAAGCTACAGATAAACCATAAAAAAGCCAAAAGTAAAAAGAAAGCTGTGGAATATAGTTTGTTAGTAGAATGTTTGCCTAGAATGTATGAGGCCCTGGGTATCAATCAGCAAGTTCTACTACAGGGTTAAGCACTCATGCCCAAGGCAACCATCATAGGCCATGGATTCCTCTCTCCTGTGTGTCTAGAATGGAGCTGCTTAGGTATGGACCTTCACAGGGTGGTGAAGCTTCTCAGATTGCCTTTCTTGTCCTTGCTTCAGATGCGGAATCCTGGGGAGGAAGGCTCAGGCCTAGCACTAGACACCAGAGCTTCTGGGAGGGAAAATAAGCTGGGAACATAGACTGCCTGAGCTAGTGGCTACCTATATGACACGTGTTATTGTTGTGGTTGAGGAACTAAAATCTTAGAGTTATTTGACTTTTAAATAGCTATGTGTAAGCTGCAAGTAGAACTTAGTAGTGAAGCTTTGGATTTGATCCCTAGCACTGAAAATAATAAAACAAAAGAATCACATGTGACAATTATATTAAGCAACAGGAAAATGAAGTAACTGGTCTGAGCTCCTGACCCTGGAAACCCAGACTCATGTGAATAGCAACATTTCCAGCCTGGGGTCCCCTTGATCTCCTATCTGCAGGAAAGGCAGGCCTAAGGAGGGAGTCACATGAGACAGCCTGCCCTCACTCCCCGCCATGTCCTTAGTCTTAGTTTGGAAATACAGTTCCGTTTTCTTTAATTTCTAGATAATGCTTCTCAAGGACTGTCCAGTAGTCTTGCCAGGGTGCCCTAGGGAGCCCCCGTATCCCCCATGCGAGCCCAAGTGAGGGCATGGCACACTTCTAAGATGTGGGACTTGGACCTTGTTGCATCTTGAGGAAGCCTCAGTTATCACATCAGGGCTTTCTTTTTTCTTTTCTTTCTTTTTTCTTTTTGATTTTCGAGACAGGGTTTCTCCATAGGTTTTGGTTCCTGTCCTGGAACTAGCTCTTGTAGACCAGGCTGGCCTCGAACTCACAGAGATCCGCCTGCCTCTGCCTCCCGAGTGCTGGGATTAAAGGCGTGCGCCACTACTGCCCGGCTACATCAGGGCTTTCTTAAAAGCAGATTAAGTATGTTCAACAGGCAGAGAAAGGATTGGGTGCTCCTTGTGTCATGGCTGAAGAGACGGGGATGGGAGCAGGCTGGTAAAGCCAGGGCAGGTGCCCTCACAGTGCGGGGTCATGTGCCCGGCGGGCAGGTGAAGGAGTACGAGGAAGAGATCCACTCACTGAAGGAGAGGCTACACATGTCCAACCGGAAGCTGGAGGAGTATGAGCGGAGGCTGCTGTCGCAGGAAGAACAGACAAGCAAGATCCTGATGCAGTATCAAGCCCGCCTGGAGCAGAGTGAGAAGCGCCTGAGGCAACAGCAGGTGGAAAAGGACTCACAGATCAAGAGCATCATTGGCAGGTGAGGGGCGGCCCGGGGAGGGGTGGGAAGGGGTTGAGGCTGGAGGGAGAAGGACAAGGGAAAGCCTGCTTAAGACATCGAACACTCCCTTGCCAAGCCCCAACACTGCTTACACACTAACTTCTGAAGTCCGGGGGAAAAACACCAATTACTGTCTAACATCACTGTCTGGACTTAGTTTAGGCCTAGACTCCCTGTCCCTTTTTTTTTTTTTTTTAATCCCACTGTGAGGGTCACCACAAGCTAAGCAGTGGTCCCGAGCCACAGGAGCCCTTACCCATTGCCATGTTCCTGAGCAGAGCTCCTCTCCAGCTGTGGGAAGGGGTTCAGTCAGAAATGGGCTTTCAGCTTGTTACCGCTGCAGAGGAACTGCTTCAGCGGGGCCACTCTCGCCAGAGCAGCCGCACTCTGATCTGCTGTGGGTACTGGTTTTGAGTGAGACTTAATTAGAAGAAAATGTGTACTCCACTGAAGCCACCTAGGACTGAGGAACAGGGGTTGATTACAATGGCCTAGGGCACAGAAGTTAAGTCATCTGGCAGCAGGGTGTCCAGGAGGGATGGCTGAGCTACAGATCACTGGCTCACAGGAGTCTCTGTGACACCGACATCTAGCTGGACATAGTTGTGCACACCTTTAATCCAAGCTTTCCAGTGGATCTCTGTGAGCGTGAGGCCAACCTGGTCTCTACCTAGAGAGTTCTAGGACAGCCTGGTCTACATAGAGAAACCCTGTCTCAAAAAACGAACAAACACAGATCTAACCTTAGGATACAGGAGCACCCATGTCTGTAATGCCAGCATTTAGGAGGCAGAGGCAGGAGGATAACCTTGGCTACATAGTGCGTTCTAGGCTTGCTTGACTACAGTGTGAGACTCGTTTGAAAAAAACAATAGGGAGAGAGCAAACCTTTTTGGATTGCAGAAGTGACTGAGTAAAGAGGAAATATTGCTCTTCCAGAGGATCTGAGTTAAACTTCTAGCACCCACATTAGGTGACTCCTAACTGCCTGAAAGTCCAGCTCCAGGGGCACCTGCAGTCATCCGCACACACTCATGCAGATACATAGAAGTAACAGAAATAGGTCGGGCAGTGGTGGCGCAGACCTTTAATCCTAGCATGGAAGGAAGCAGGATCTCTGTGAGGTCTGAGACCAGTCTGGCCTACAAAGTGAGTTCCAGAATAGCCAGGGCTACACCAGAGAAACCCTGTCTTGTAAAATAAAAAAAAGGTAATAATAATAAATAATAACAGTAGAAATAAGCTGGGTGTGGTGCTGTATGCCTTTAATTCTATGACTGGGGAGGCAGAAGCAGGCAGATCTCTTAAGTTTAAGGTTAGTTTCGGGCCAGTGGAAGTTACATAGTGAGACTGTCCCGAAAAACCAATAAATAAATGAATGAAAAAATAAGTAGAAAAACGCCCTTTAAAAGCCCATCAGAAAGCAGGCATGAGGACCCCTGGGAGGCAGTGGAAAGCAGGGTTCCTGCGTGCACAGCATCTTCTGGGTCAAGAACTCTGCAAGGCGGGGAAACTGTCCAGAGTTCCCCAGGGTACTACAGGCGGGCTCTGAGCCCGTGCCCGCCACTAACCCCACTGAAGCCCGTCCCTTCAGGCTGATGCTGGTGGAGGAGGAGCTGCGTCGGGACCACCCCGCCATGGCTGAGCCGCTGCCCGAACCCAAGAAGAGGCTGCTCGACGCTCAGGTGGAAATTACAATGTCATTTATCTTCTCTGTGTCCCATCCCCATCCATCCCACTGTCTGTGCACTCACCGCACCAGCCACCCTGGCCCCATCGCCATCTGTCTCCCGTGTCCTGTCTGTCTACTGCTGCTTCCTGCAGCACCCTGCGATCATCTGCATCCCATTGTCTGGGCCTCTGTCACTCCCATGCCTTCCTGTCTTGTCTTCCCACTCTTGCCTGCATCCTAGGGCCTTGCACTTCAGCCTCTTAGCTCCCCCGTCTCCAGTGCCCTTGAACTTGTACCTCTTACTAGCCCACTCCTGTCTGCTTCCTCAGCTCTTCTTCATCCAGGAAGGCTGAAGTTTTTACTGATAGAATGGAGCATACATAATCTGAGCTGTAGTTTCTCCAAGCTCTGGGTACCCTAGGGACTCAGGGTTCTCTTGACTCCCCATTTTGACTCTTTAGTGGATCGTGTCTTGCTCCTGACTCTTCAGATCATAAGGCCTCTCCCAGAAGCCCCTTTCCGTAGTTCAAATTCTGCTTGCCTTTGGCCTCTGGTGTCCCCGAACCTACTGTCTAACTCCCTGTCACCACACTCTCTGCTCACCAGCCAGCCTCCAGGCCCTCTGCACCCTTGCCCTTGCTCTTTCCTATCCATATTCCTCCTCCCTCTGCTCTGACCACCAGGACTCCCTGCCCCTTCCCCCCCAACTAAGCCTCCTGACCCCATGACCCCACTCTCTCCCCCTGCAGCTCCTCATCAGGTAATTCTCCTGGTTCCGCTTTGACCACGGGCGGAGGACACTGGGGGAGGTGACTCCGGACCACTGCAGGTTGGTGGTGAAGCCCACCCCTCCCAACTCTCTGCAGCCTCTCCCCCCTCACTGCTGCCCACTACACCCAGAGACCTTCCACAGACCCCACCCTCTTGACACTTCCTGCACAGACAGACCCCTTTCCAAGGTACAGCCAGAGTGCACCTGTAGACACCCCCACACCCTTTGATGCCTTAGCAATCCAAATTCGACCCTTACCAAGACCGAGCACATTTACAGGTTCCCTGTTCTCTCCACACTGGCCCCACCAGCCACCTCCTGACACCATCCTCCCTTTCCTCTACCTATCCAGTGTCTGTCTGTCACCCCCCATTTCACCAGAGCGTTCTTGGGAGTTGGGCTGTTGGTGTGGGTATAACAGGGTGGATATTGGGTTGGGGCCAGGCGAGGGGCTGTGCTGACTCCATCAGGTAGGTGGGGTCTGCTCATTCTTCCTGATTCCTACCCCTCCCCTCTCTCCCTTTGCTCTCTCCCTGCACTGTGAGGCAGAAGGCAGAATGGGAGCAGGTAGTTAATTCAGGAAGACACTAAGGGACCCTGGAAGATGCTGCTGAGATGTCCTGACATGTCAACAAGGTGGATGGCATAAACAGGCAGGAGTCCGGGACAGATGTGGCCTGTTACAGAAGTGAGGAGAAACAGCTTCCTAGAATGTAATCAAGGGCTCAGTAGCCATTTGTAGTCCAGGCAGGGACACTAGGAACAGCATGTTAAGGAACTCTCTTGTCAGAGCTTAAGTTCCTGAGTTGCTAAGGCCACTCATTTCCCCTCTCCTGCGGCCCAGTAGCCTTCAGGACACTGAAAAGCCAGTAAGTGGGAAGCTCTCAGGCACACCTCAGTCCTGAGACACATTCCTGTGGGACTCATTTGTGGTGGGCAGTGGCTCCTCACACTGTAATTTAACTCTCCGAGTGCCCAGCCTCTCTGTCAAAGTAGTTAGTGATCTGTAGACACTGAAAGACACCAGGGAACCTCACCATTTAAAGGACTCCAGCAGTGAATTCTTTTATAAAATGAATAATGGCATCCTAATTTATCCAGTTTCTAAATGTGGGTCCATGGGGGCGTAGGGGGCATGCCCATGTGTCGTCATGAGCAGACAAGCAGAGTGGAGGCATCTGAGGGTTCCTTCCCTGTTCTCCTCTCACTGCCTGCCGGGGAGATCCCCGATAGCCATGAGCGCAGCTTTGACTAAGGTTATATTCTGAGTGGTCCTGACCAGGTGAGTCTTTGGTTCTGGTATAAAGGAAAGCTGACCTTGGAAGCCTTCATTTCCTGTGTCATTTGGAGACAGGGTCAGACACAGGTAGCTCCACGCTGCCCTACTTAACGTCTGTGGCAGACAGTGATCTGTGGATCTGTTCCAAACCAACTGTAGGCTTTGGTCCCATTGCAGCCCAGCTAGCTAGATTTTTTAAAGCCAACTAAGTATTCAGGAGTTCGGAGACCCAGGTGCTCTTCTCCCAGAAGAGGCACAGAAGGGTGGGTTGAGGGCAGAAACCAGGAAATGGGTCTCAGAGCCACCGAATGTTCTGAAAATAAGTACAGGGGTGGCACAGGGTCTGCTGCTCAAGCTGGAAGCCCGCGGAGAGGAGCTGGAAAGGAAGGAGGGTGGGAAGGAGTGGAGCTGCTATGTGACTTCTCCAAACCAGGGGTTCTCCACCTATGGAGTGTGACCCCACATGACCCCTTCACAGGGGTCACACATGAGATATTTATAATTCATAACAACAGCAAAATTAGTTATGAAGTAGCAACATTAGTAATTTTATGGTTGGGGGCCACCACACCATAAGGAACTGTACTAAAGGGTCACAGTGTTAGGAAGGCTGAGAGCCACTGCTCTAGACCTTTGGGTCATTCCTGCCGGCATGAGAGGAGCTCCCGACAAGCTGTACCTCCACACCACTTCCCTGAGCCCGCTCTAATTTGGGATGCTCTGTTAGAGAGGTCCACTCTCAGTAGCTGGCAGAACTGAGTGACAGTTGTCTGTTTAGTGAAGTGCCTGTCTTCAGAACACAGTAAGTAGAACTCTAAACAAGGCCCTGCGCAGGCCCTCAGGGAGCACAGCTGAAGCTGTGTAGCCAGGGCCCCGCCCACAGACACGTTCCAAGGACTGCTCAGCTCACTTTTCTCAGATAAAGGAAAACTCAAGCCCTGGTTTTGTTCAAATTATGAGCAAACTTGCACATCTGTAGGGGTTTGGACTAATGAGGTTTTACTGTACTGCCTCCTCTGGTTCCTCAGCGCTGAAGTTCCTGCCTGGGATGGAGGGGGCTGGGGGAGGAAACACAGTTCTTGAAGCAGAAGTTCTGTCAGAGGGAAGGTGAGAGCTAGTTGCTTTTGAGCTGGTTTTCTGGTGTGAGCTCTCTCCCAGATCCCCCGGGACTCCTGGAGGTACAAACAAAACAGGAGGGGAGTGGAATGGCTGTGGAGCGCTGGCCTTGGGTGAAGAGCACTGCTTGGGGCTGGCATCCTTGCCCCCGCGAAGCGTCTCAATAAGTCCGCGCTCTCCTCTTTGGTGTCTTGCAGGAGAGGCAGCTTCCCCCCTTGGGTCCAACAAACCCGCGTGTGACGCTGGCCCCACCTTGGAACGGTCTGGCCCCCCCAGCCCCACCACCCCCACCCCGGCTGCAGATCACAGAGAACGGCGAGTTCCGAAACACCGCAGACCACTAGCCCACCCAGCATCACAGACCTCCTTCCTTGTGCACCCCACCCCGGAACATCACCAACCACCAGGACTGGACGTCACCGAGGGACAGCAGGAATGCCTCCCTTAATGCCTCCTTGAGGCACCCATCCGCCACCTCCACTGCACCATTTCTAGGAGGGAGAGTGGGACCCTTAGCTGCCCTCTTTCACCCCCAGGGACCTTCACCCCAGGACACCGCCTACCCCACCAACCCCTTCACTCCGGGGTGCTATCCCCACCCTCTGCCTCATAGTTCCCCTGAGCACTGGGGGACAGACCCTCACCCCCACACTGGGGGTGTGGCACCTCCAAACTTTCAACTTCAGGGTGATTTTTTTAGCAGTAACCAGAGCTGACAATCTAACTCCCCTCCACCACCCCATTTTGGCCTCCCCTGTCCCCCTTGTAATGGGGAGGGGACCCCAGGTGAGGGGGCCCTATTACCCCTTGATTTCTCAGGAGCGTCTGGGGGGGCTCAGCACGCACAAACTCCTTCTCCTCTTTCCACTCTTACATTTACTCTCCCCACCCAGAACCCAGATGGGGTGGAGGGGGCCACCGGGGCAGGGAGGGGGCGGCAAGGGGGGAATGGGAGTTGCCTCCCCTTCTTCCCACACCTGATCTGCTCTTGGCTGGTCCCAGAGCGGGGTGAGGGGGCTTATGCCCTCCCCTCCCCCAGTGTGTTGGGTGGGGTGGAACTGAGGTTCGGATGAAGGGTTAGGGTTTAGGGGCCTGTGTGTTGGGTTGTGGAGGACAGACCAGCTGATCTGCCCTACCCTGACACACAGCCAGCCCCTACCCTTTCCCTCTTTGTCTCTACTCCCATGGGGAGGGGGGAATTTACTCTAGGAAAAGCCATGTCTCTCTCCCCCAGGGTGGGGGACCTGTGTTGGAGGATGGGTGTTTGGGGGCCCCCTTCCATGACTCTGTCCCCTGGGGAGGTAGGACAGGGCTGGGTTTCCCTCTCACCCTCCCCCCTCACCCAGTCTCCCTCCCTCCCGCCAGCTCCACGATTTTTCGGTGTTTCTCTGTACATAGCTCTCTGGCGGGATAGGGGAGGTAGGATGGATGGGGTTTGGGGTGGGTAGGCCATGGAAGGGGAGAAATCCCTGCTGGGTACCCCCCTCTTCTCTGACTGCTGACCCCTGCCCAGACTTGTCTCCTCACTCCTTCTTGCGTTTGGTATTGAGAATTCCTCCCAGACTCCAGACTCAACCTTTTGTATGGACAGCTCTCCTTCAGTCTTACCCTCTACACATCCACCCAGCCGGGGCCAAATTTATACTTATATAAAAGTTGTAAATATGTGAAATTTTATCCCGCACCCTTTCCTCTGCTTACCCCACTTCAGGCCCTACCCTCTTACCTCCTTCCTTCTCTTTGGCTGTTGTAATTATCTGGGGTTTGTACTGTACATAACCGGGGTGGGGACTGGGAGGCTACCCCTCTGTACAGAGCTTCCTGGCTCCCTAGCCCGCCCCTCACTTCTCTCCCCACCCACCACCTTAAGAGTAGGGAGCCGCTCTTCTTACTCGTTTTTTTGTTTGTTTACTCGTTCTCCTTACCTCCCCTACTCCCCCTTTTCTCCCTGCCACACCCCCCTTTTCTCCCACTCCCATTTCCTTTTTTTCTGGAGTGTGTGGTGAAACAGAAAAATCATGTTTAATAAACGGAGATTGTTCTTTTATTGCTTGGCCGACCTTTATTTATTAGTTGGTTTTTCGAGACAGAGTTTCCCTGGCTGTCCTGGAACTAGCTCTGTAGACCAGGCTGGTCTCGAACTCAGAGATCGCCCTGCCTCTGCCTCCCGAGTGCTGGGACTAAAGGCTTGCGCCACCTGGCCCAGCACTGAAGTCCCCTGGAGGGGGTGACAGGAATTACTTTTGGAGAGAAAGCTGCCAGCCTGCAAGCAGTGCTACACTGTCCCACCCAGTCAGAACAATCTACACCCCAGCGTCGACCTGGCCCAACTCCCACTCCCGCTCGCCACTCGCCGCTGAGGCTCTGAAAGGGCCCAAGTGAACAGTCTCCCAAACCTCTGCGAAATGGAGGAAAGGATCAGGGTGCTCTGCGCGGGGACGCTCCAGACTTCCGATCTGGCTGCCCCGCGTGCACACCGGGGACGGCAGCAACTACCTCGCGCGGCGGGAGGGAAGATCCACCCCGCGCTGCCGAGCCCGTCTCGCTCCTATCCGCGGACCGGTGCCCTCCACGCTCTTCCGACGACGCTCGGGCAGCCCGCCGGCCCCTGGCCCCGCCTCCTCTGGCCGCACAGCCAGTAAGAAGGAGGCTTGTAGGCTGCCGACCTTCCATTGGCTGCAGACCCGGCCCCGCCCTGCGCGCTGAGCAGTCCCGGCGTCCGGCGGAGCGGCGGTCGCTTCCGGCCGACCGGACGCCGTGGAGGCAGCGGAGTTCCGAGACGGTCTCCAGTGCGGTGGGGGCGTGCCGGTCGTCCTGCGCGTGGGGGGAGCTCGCGGAGCCGGCCCGTGGGAGCACGGTGAGGCGGGGCGAGCGGCAGCCGAGGGCGGCCCGAGCCGGCGAGCGGGGCGCAGTCCCCTCCTCGGCTTCCGCAGGGCCTGGGATAAACACCCTGGTTGGTGGGTGTTCTGTCGGTGTTCTCGGTCGGCGGGACTAATGGACAGAAACTGGCACGGGAGGACTTTCAGGCGTCTGTGGGGTGCAGCTTGAGACAGGTCTCCTGTCCCGGGGCTGTCCGGTCTCTTGCCTCCGCAGCCGTCGTTAGAGCCCTGCTCTTCCCGACTCTCTGGGATTTGTCTTTCCCGAGCTGGCCATGGATGCTTCGACTCAGCCTCCCACACCCACTTCACCGAGTTGCAGCCTAACCTCACGGACAATCCACATCGAGTTCCCTCACCATAGCTCTTCGCTGCTAGAATCCCTGAACCGCCACAGGCTGGAGGGGAAGTTCTGTGATGTGTCCCTCCTGGTTCAGGGCAGGGAAATTAGGGCTCACAAAGCAGTGCTGGCTGCCGCCTCTCCTTACTTCCATGACAAGCTGCTTTTGGGGGATGCGCCCCGACTCACCTTACCCAGTGTCATTGAGGCAGATGCTTTCGAGGGACTGCTTCAGCTCATCTATTCAGGGCGCCTCCGCCTGCCACTGGATGCTCTCCCTGCCCACCTCCTTGTAGCCAGTGGCCTGCAGATGTGGCAAGTCGTGGATCAGTGCTCAGAGATTCTTCGAGAACTGGAAACGTCAGGCGGTGGAAATTCAGGCGGCGGAGGAGCCGCCTGCCACACACTGCTTTCCACAACCCCTTCAGGAAGCTGGTGCATTCGCTCTTCCTCTTTCCAGAACCCAGCGCAGTCCTCCGCTTCCACAGAGAACTCTGCCTTCGCCGAGAACCTCGTCGGAGGGGAGAAGAGTGAGCTGGAACAGGTGCTACAGATTCAGGTGAAGGAGGAGGAGGAGGAGCAGGGGTCGGCAGCCCACCTCTTCCAGACTCAACCCCAGAGACTACCCGAAGAGTTTCCCCCAGCTTGTGGATCCCACCCCCTGCCTGCGTCTGCTTTCCCCAGCATGTCTCCGGAGGACCAGAGTTCAACCCTTGAGTTCCCTGCCCCTCCTGTACAGGCTTCCCATGTCATAGAGGTTAATCTGGACCCCCTTATGTCTGTGGAGAAGACATCAGGAAGTAGGGCTGTGCCCCGAGGAGCGAAGGAGGGGACCAGAACTCTTTCTGAAGCAGACTCTGAGGGAAAGGGAGAGCTAAGATACCTGCTGTCCTCAGGAGGAGGAGAAACATCGGGCTCAGGAGATCCGTCCTGGAAACCAGTGGACCTTCATGGGAATGAAATCATGTCCGGAGGGCCCGGAGGATCAGGACAAGCTATGCATGGGCCTGTGAAGCTGGGAGGGACGCCGCCTGCAGATGGGAAGTGCTTTGCTTGCTTGTGTGGAAAGCGCTTCGCGGTGAAGCCCAAACGAGACCGGCACATCATGCTGACCTTCAGCCTTCGGCCCTTTGGCTGCGGCGTCTGTAATAAACGCTTCAAGTTGAAGCACCACCTCACAGAGCACATGAGGACCCACGCCAAAGCTCTGGATGCCTGTCCCCACTGCGGCCGACGCTTTCGTGTCCACGCCTTTTACCTTCGCCACCGGGACTTGTGCAAAGGGCAGGGTTCAGGCACTGCCCACTGGACTTACAAATGACAGCTAGCGCTCTGTACTGACTTGTAGGAGAAGTAGCCACTGCTGCTGCCGGGCTCTCACCCGTCACCACCTCGGTCCTAGATTGCATAGTCCAGGAGGTTATATAGCTTGTGAACCCCTTGCTCTTGGGATGGGCCTCACCCTGGTGTACTCGGAAGCTCAGGTTTCTCAGTACAGCTGTTTGTTGAACAGACTGTAGGAAAGTCATATTTTTGACCATTCACCCTAAAGGGCCTCTTTTGTATTGGTAGCCAGTGAGGAAACCATTGACTTAGATTAGGTTGGTGAGCGAAGAGTTGGAACAAAATGAACTAGTAACTTTACTTCCTCTTCACCAGGAGGTAAGGGAGCTGCTCTCCGACTAGGAATGTATTTGATTCAGAGCGCAAGTAATTGTCAGACTAAGCCCCAAGCATCCCCCCGCACACACACACACACTGTTGGCAGCGTTCTGTTTCTATACTTCTTCCTGCTGTTTCTTTCTAGAAGCTTTCTAGATTGTACTTTGCTTTCTCACCAGTAGACACCTCCCCCAAAGTCCTTCTAAAAATGTACTTGAACACGCAGCAGGTGTGGTTGCACACACCTGTAATCCCAACACATTGTGAGGCAGGGGCCGAAGATCTCTGTGAGCTCCAGACCAGCCATAACAAGTTCCAAGCCAGTTGGGGCTACACAGTGAGCACTTTAACACACTGAGCATCTGTGTGAGTCTACCCCCCCACCCCGCGCGCCCCCCCGCCAGAGGTTACTCCTTCAACAGCCTTTGCTCTGTCTTCCTTTGACGACCACTGACAGCTTGCGTGTAACCACAGTGACAGATGTGACCCGTGAACTCAGGAGATGGCAACTGTCATAAAATGCTCTCAGGGTAGCCCCATTGCTCGCTGAACAAATTGCCCTGATTAGGACTCAGGGTTGAGACCACACGTGGTAAATTCTGCAGAATAACTAACTGAACAGAGGACGGTACTGCCTCCCTCTCCCTCCCACCCACATTTGATGGGAAGAAATGCTTATAAAGCAGAAGGGAGCTGATGGAGTTAAAGTTGCTTAATTTAATTGCTTTTTTTTTTTTTTTTTTTTTGAGACAGGGTTTTGTGTAGCTTTGGAGCCTGTCCTGGAATTTGCTCTGTAGTGCAGGCTGGCCTCGAACTCACAGAGATCCACCTACCTCTGCCTCAGAGTGCTGGGATTAAAGGCGTGTGCCATCACCGCCGGGCTTAATTTCATTGCTTAATAAACTCTTGCGTGAAATCTAAATTGACGGCAGCCTAGATTGAGTGATTTCTGTGGAGGAGGTGTGAGAGCAGAGCCCAGGAGGTGAGTGTTCCTTTGCAGTGGTTAGGCGTTGGTGGAAGAATCCTATTGGTTTCCCAGTACAGCTGGAGAATGCTGGCTGGACCCAGGCTGCCCCACAGCTGAGGAACCGCAGGTAAGGCACTTTACGTTTCAGGGGTTTTGCTTGAGACCTCATCTTACTGTCTGATTCAGCCTGGCCTCAAACTTATGATCCTCCTTCCCAACCCCTTGAATACTAGGATTACAAGTGTATACCACCATGCCTGGCTTATGCCACTTTTGTTTTTTTTTTTTTTTTGGATTTTCGAGACAGGGTTTCTCTGTAGCATTTTGGTTCCTGTCCTGGAACTAGCTCTTCTAGACCAGGCTGGTCTCGAACTCACAGAGATCTGCCTGCTGCCTCTGCCTCCCGGGTGCTGGGATTAAAGGCGTGCGTCACCACTGCCCGGCATGCCACTTTTTGATAGGGTTTGAGTTCATAATATTAATGTATTTTCTGACATCTTGCATTGGGCATAGTGCTGGATGGTACTTTGGTTTATTCTACAGATCTTAGAACAGGGCAGTGTGCTAACCTGATTTCCTTCACTGGGAAAGGGTCTCAGCAGATAAGAGCAGTCACTGCCCAAACATGACAGCCTGAGTTCAGATCCCAGCACCCACAGAACAAAAGCCGGGTGTTGGACTGACAGGAGGAGTCAGTAGGTGCCTTCTAAGAAGCCAGATAACCTGAGTCTGCGCCCCAGAACCCAATGGTGGAAGGGGAGAACTAACTTCTGCAAGTCGTCCACAGACCTTCACAAGCATGCCATAGCACATGCTTGCACACACAGACACACAATTTAAAAAAGATTTTACAAAATGGGATTTTTGTGGCTAAGCAGGTGAAGTACAGCTTGGAATTTTCAAACTCTCAGATGGACCATGGTCTTACGCACTTGGTGAGGAGTGTATTCCTTGGGAAAGGCAGTAGTGGTGGTGCCTTGGATCAACCACAGGCCTACCCACCTGCTTGGCATGCATTAGGTAGGTGGCTGTATTCCTTGCTATCTTGGTTCCGTGGGTTGCAAGCACAGGAAGTTGGCTCTGGATAGCCTTACTGAGGTGACTTTATAGAAGAATAGAAACGGCGGCACTGAGGCGCCTGTGGAAGATCAAGTCCTCTCATAGCTCATGGAGCCCGCGACCCAGGGCATAGACCCTACTGAGACAACTTGTCCTGGGGCGGGCGTGGGTTCCCACGGGCTGGTGAAAGACGGACAGATGCATCTCAAGGAGGGTAGGTCTTCAGCTGCAGCGGGGCTCAGCCTCTGTGGACTGAGATGCTTTCCCTTCCCCACAGCTTCCTTATTGTTCTCCAGTTTAAGCCTTAGCAAGTTCGTTTCCATATCCTCAAAACATCTCAGTTAAGCTTCCGAGAGACAATGGCAAATACAAACTCTCAACAAGGGATACCTTGGTTTTCTTGGTTTTCCCAGCCTAGTTTTGCATAGGCTTTGCATCTTTGGGAACCAGCACCTTTATGTGGGTGACATAAAGGTGCTGAAGACAAAGGGCGGACTTAGACTACCTGTGCCATTCGGGAGCCAGCTGTGGGAGCCAGGTGCAGCTGTGTGTTCCAGGGAGTGGCTTGTCTTGAACTTGCTCTGTGCAGGAGGCCTCCTGTGCTTGGCCCCTTCCCTCCTCTTCTGAGTACTGAGATTGTGGAGCCCACTGCCACAGAAGCTCGTTTTGGGGGGGGGGGGTTGTTTGTTTTTGGTGTTGGGAATCAAATCTAGAAACTCACACTAGGAACTGTGTCCTTCACGACCGAACTCCAAACAGACCCTGGTCCTTGTGGCACAGGACTGAAAATAAGCTTCTCATGAGAGAATTGGGGATGTAAGTTGGTGGTAGATGCTTGCCTGGCAACTACAAAGGTGGGCTTACCTGAGGCCCACAAAATAAATCTCAGTCAGACTCTCAGTTCATACCAACACTGTGGCTGGAGCGCCCTTGACCGCACATCAGTGTGACTGGAGTCTTCATCAGTGACATGCTGAGGGAGAAGAGGGAAGGGTGTGCATAGGTCAGCCAGTATCAACCAAGTCCACTGAAGAGGTCTCTCCTGTAACCCATCAGGGAAGCCTTAAAACCTCAGTATACATAGCACTTTCTAGAGTGTTTAGAAATGGTGAGCCTGCCCCGTTACCTCCATTCAACCTGTTAAAAAAAACTTTTTTTCTGTAGCTTTGGAGCTGTTCTGGAACTCGCTCTGTAGATCAGGCTGGCCTCGAACTCAGAGATCCACCTGCCTCTGCCTCCCGAGTGCTGAGATTAATGGCATATGCCACCACTGCTATTACAACATTCTTGAAGCTTTATTATTCGAATCTGATGTGTCTTTTTGTTATGGACACATCTTGTTAAGCCCCCCAGCAATCTTACCTGATAGTAATTATATAAAAATTAGCTGGGCAGTGGTGGCACACACCTTTAATCTCAGCACTCCACTTAGGAGGCAGAAGCAGGTACATCTCTGTAAGTTCAAGGCCAGCCTGGTCTACACAGTGAGTTCCAGGACAGGCTCCAAAACTACACAGAAAAACACTGTTTCCAAAAAATATATATTTAAACTGGGGCTGGACAGGTGGCTCAACAGTTAACACTTCCACGCTTCCTGCTCTTCCAGAGCACCCAGGTTCAATTCCCAGTACCCACACAATGACTCACAACTGCCTGTAACTCCCATCTCAGAAGGATACAACTTCCATTTCTGGCCCGCTAGGGCTCCAGGCATGCACATGGTACACAGATACACATGTAGACAAAACACTCATACACATAAAAAATATTTAGAAAACAAAGATATAACCAGTTATAGATTGAGGTCATGCTGAGCTGAACGTGGTAGAGCAGGCAAAGCAGGAATTCAAAGTCAGTCTCAGCTCTATGGAGCATGTCCACACAGCCTGGCAGTATGACGCCCTGTATAAGACAACTGCTGTGCCCAGATCCTTTCTCAAAACATTAGTGCCCGGAGAGACAGTTGATTCCTGGATAGTACACCTAAAGTCCTGCACACTAAGAAGTAAGAATTCAGGAGACCCTGACCACCTTGACGCCTTAATCATTCTCGATATACAGGAATATATTTTTTAAATTCTGTGTGTGTGTATGCGTGTACATGTGTGTGTGCATGTGTAAATGTATGTGTGCATGCATGTGTGTATATGTTTGCGTGTGCATACATGTGTGTGTGTGCCCAAAGAAGACTGAAGCAGGGCACACTTTGTATTCGTACATGCCTCCCCAGTACTTTATGCCTGTAGTCGTGATAGTGGCCTCAAGAACAATGGGGGTTTTGTTTTGTTTTTGTTTTTTGAGACAGTTTCTCTGTATAGCTCTCTGTCCTGGAACTCACTCTGTAGACCAGGCTGTAGCTGGAAGAGTTCTCCATCCCTCTGACCCCATCAGGCTGGCTTCTCCTCACCCACCAGGTCCCCACTAACTAGTTCCTGCAGCCACTTAGGAAATAATCACTCTGTCCAAGGCTTAGTATAAGTTAAACTTGTCTTAGGCTTCTTACTGGCTAGCTCTAACTAGTAAATTAACCCATGTTAACTTTAACATAGTAAAATTAAATATAACAAAACAGTTATCAAGCAAGAATTACAGTTATAATATTTAGTCTATTGGTATTAGGCAAAATTAAATACTCTGTCATCTGTATTATCTTTGTGAATCTAAAGCTTTCGTTGTTTTTTTTTTTTTTTTTTTTTTTTTTTTTTTTTTTTTTTTCTCTGTGGCTTTGGAGCCTGTCCTGGAACTAGCTCTGTAGACCAGGCTGGTCTCAAACTCACAGAGATCCACCTGCCTCTGCCTCCCGAGTGCTGGGATTAAAGGCGTGCGCCACCATCGCCCGGCTGTTATTTATCTTTTATTATAACTAAGGAAAATTATAACTATCTGTCTTCAACTTCATCAAAGACTCCAGAAGGATATATTATCTAAGTAAACAGGAAGTGCATTGTAAAAAACTTCCAAAGATCTAGAACTGACAGAGACATCTCGCTGTCTGGACAGTCACCCAGAGTTTTCCTGTACCATTGGGGCATCCGTCTTCAGCCTATAGGCCCACAATACCTGGCAAACTTTTCAGCAAAGCAGGAAATTTGAAGATCTGTTCTGCCTTATACTGGTAAAGTTCATCAGTTGCATTTTTCTGTGTCCTGTAGAATGTCAGGCAGTTTCTTCTGTGAAACAGGAACCCTGAAGGATCATCCCGTCCTTTGGAAAGTTTAACAGTCACTTTCCTTCTTTTTTTTCTCTTTTCTTTTTCTTTCTTTCTTTCTTTCTTTCTTTCTTTCTTTTTTTTTTTTTTTCTCTGTGGCTTTGGAGCCTATCCTGGAACTAGCTCTTGTAGTCCAGGTGTGCGCCACTACGCCCAGCTTGCAGTCATTTTTATGTGGGTCTTGCATGTCCAGTTCATACAGCATACCATCAAGCAGTCGAGACAAGAACAGTTTCTTACCCAAAGGGCTAGCCTTGTCACATTGAAGATGAATTCCATATTGTGTTTCTTCAATGCCCATCCATCTCTCTGAAGTAATTGGTGCCACCAGAAGCAGACATGTCTTAAAGTCGAAGTTCTTAAAACATTTTATATGCCGTATTCTGTAGGTCTTGTTTGTTTTCTTTTTTGGATTTTTGAGACAGGGTTTCTCCGTAGCTTTTTGGTTCCTGTCCTGGAACTAGCTCTTGTAGACCAGACTGGCCTCGAACTCACAGAGATCCGCCTGCCTCTGCCTCCCGAGTGCTGGGATTAAAGGTGTGTGCCGCTGCCACTGCCTGGCATTCTGTAGGTCTTTGAAGTGTTGAAGATTATCTAACCGAAATATATCTATATATATCTAGAAAACCTAACATGACTAAAAGTTTGGTTAATCTGTATTTTTAACTATATATTACATTTTTAAATGAGCTGTATAAACATAATACCTTAAACAAGAATAGAAATACACATATAACAAAATTATATATATTAAATTTATATCAGTAGACCAAAGTCCTTACCACTGTAAAGTATTCATTTCTATATCACCTTTTTTTCTTTAGAAAGAGGTTGACTGTGACCATTAACCACTTACAGCCAACCCCCTTTAAATGAAAACAAACATTTATAAATAATCATTTTGGGGAGTTTGAATGCAGTGTTCTCCAAACTGCTCTTTGTTGGGCGAAGTATATTTAGGGTTCACAGAGACCTTTCGGGGGTTCATGTTCCATCAAGCCACATTAGCCTGGAAAGAATCCATAGGTTCCCATCCTCAGAAGTGCTGTGGGACAACACTGATTGGCCAGTAGCCAGGCAGGAAGTGTAGGTGGGCCAACCAGACTAAGAGAATGCTGGAACAAGGAAAGGCAGCGAGGTGGTCATCTGCCAGACACAGAGGAAGCAAGGTGAGAATGCCTCACTGAGAAAAGGTACCAAGCCATGTGGCTAGACATAGACAAGAAATATGGGTTAGTTTAAGTTGTAAAGGCTAGTTAATAATAAGTCTGTGCTAATAGTCCAAACAGTTTATAATTAATATAAGCCTCTGTGTGTTTCTTTGGACCAAGCAGGACAGAAACTTCCATCTATAGATGTTACCCAAATGTTTGGCAAGAGTTTCCACATAAAGCCTGAGGAAGCTTTTTTTTTTTTTTTTTTTTTTTTTAAAAAAAAGGATTCTAGACAGACAAGAACAGAGTCAAGTGGCAGCTTCTTGGTAACTGTCTTTTCTTGGACTCTGTTTGCTAGAGGTAGGCAGAGGCACGCTCCTTTAAGAGAAGTTTCCTGGCTTAGTGTTAGCGACAAAACCTCACAGCTCTTTAAGAGGCTCTGCCACCAAACACTTAAATGGTGTTTATGAGCAGCCAACATTAGGCTTCTTGGTGGTGGCATGTACCTAGAAACTCCACAGACTTGTGACAATAAATCCGGCTCCTGCCAGTATTTCTGCCATGAAGTTAGACCCTCAAAAAGCTAAGGAATGAGGTGGAGCCAGCTGCCAAAGCTGCAGCTTTAATCCTAGCCATGTTGCTTAGGAGATTAAGAATTTAGGAGATTGATCAGAAAAGGATAGAGATATACAGTAAAGGCAAATTAAAACAAATTAAAAACTTTAAATGGTTCAGTGTGCTTAAAAATATACATAGGAAAAACAAGGATAGAGAAAGTCCTTTAAAAAAAAAAAAAGAAAAAGAACTAGAGTAGCCGGGTGTGGTGGCACGTGACTTTAATCTCAGCACTTGGGAGGCAGAGGCCAATAAATCTATGTGAGTTCAAGGCCAGCCTGGGCTACAGATTTCCAGGACATTCAAAGAAACACAGAGAAACTGTCTCAAAAATAACAAAATTTAAAAATAAAAGGAATAGAGTTTTTAAAAAGAGCCATGTAAAGATGGGAAATAGAGTCTGGATGCTGTGCTACTGTGTTGTCTTTGAACTGTTTGATGACTGAGTAAACAACAGTTGCTAAAAGACATTGGATCATA